GTCTTTTCCAACCTAAATGATTCTATGATTCTATACTTTTAAACTATGATTTTTCTTTCTCAGATGAAATAAAAACAGTGAATCTTGCAGCTAAGAGAGGTGATTATTTTGTTTCAGAAGCTAATTTTTCACTTACAGTACTTTGAAAAACTTCTCTCTGTTGGTATGAATAAAGGACTCAACATTTTTAGTGTACTTAGAAATTCAAACTACATAAAAAAATGATTGCTTCCAATAAGGAGCACTGAAGACTTACCTTGTTTTTATTGTTAAAATATGGTAATCTTTTGAAGAAGAACGTAGAAGTAAACTCTTCAGGGTAGGCAACTGAGATTGTCTTGCCCCAGAAGAATTATCAGATATCAGATAGCCCTTGGAGGCTTTTTATACTGGAAATTCTGTAAGGGAAATGATTTGGAAGGAATACAAAGAGTTTCTCCTGGAGAAACAGGAGTAAGGATCCTAAAATCTTCCATAAAATTGCTTTTCTCTGCTTTTTGTATAAGGCACAATCAGCTATGTTGATGAAAAGGCCCTGCTGTCAGCTCTGTATAGGTGTTTTGATTATTATGTGCCTAGAGTATGGTTTTCACATTAAAAATGATTTCTTTTGCAACAGGTATCAAAAAGAGGAGCTTCAAGGTATTGGCTGCAAATATTTTGTTACCATGAAACTAAAAGGGAAATTTCACATTTCCGTTACTCACTTTATTTTTTTTTTCTTCTACAGGGTGACTTGGCTGATTCTTTTTTCATTGTGGAATCTGGAGAAGTAAGGATTATAATGACAAGGAAGGTAAACATCTCTAAAACAGATTTTTTTTTTTTTAATCTTGATGTATTTTAAGTGTTAAACAGTAATGCTACCATTGTTACTAATTTTGCTTATGCAATCCTGAGTTCAGCAATCTCTCTCTCATTCTTGCTCTTCCTTTCTCTTTCTTTTTTTCCCTGATATTTCAGGGTAAACAGGATGTAGAAGAGAATGGAGCAGTTGAAATAGCTCGATGCTCAAGAGGACAATATTTTGGAGAACTTGCTCTTGTAACTAACAAACCACGAGCCGCTTCTGCATTTGCTCTTGGCACTGTCAAATGTTTAGGTATTGTTCAATAATTTTATATCTAATATAAAATGTTACATAATCTATCTGGTTGTTTTTATTGTGAGCTCTGTCTTTCTGCAGAATATAAGATTTAATTACATTTACCCAAATAAGACTGTTTAAGTACATCATCTATTACTGTGCATTCCTATTTACATTATTTATCTGCAAAAATTATTTGCAATTGATAACTGGTATTAAACACAAATTCTCCAACATTTCTCCGATTGCATGGAAGTAAAAATTGTTTCAGGACAGTACAGAGTATTGCTGCAAGCCACTTATAGCTATCCAATAAATGTCTTAATATGCTGCAGAAAGGTAAAGTATTTCTTTTCTCAGTAGACTGACTCTCATCCAAGAAATAACTGTGGTAAAAATCCTGTCCCATTTTATCACCATGACTTAAGCTTTAATAAATTCTTTGTCTGCACCAGCTGTTAATTTAATCATTCTGTCACAGTGTAGCCTCAGGCACAGGAAAAGCAAAGACCATAGGAGTTGTGCTCATAGATGACTCTTCACATCCATTGCTTTTCATGGTCTGATGTTTAGCTCCTAAATATTTGTATCTAATTATCGGAAAACTGTAAACTGCAAAGACAGATCTGGCATTCTTGAATGCCAACTTTATTATCAAGCCAGGAACCAAAAAGTTTCTCACTTACTTATAAGGACAATATTTTTTAAAATCCTTATCTCCAAACGCACAGAGATGGTCAGGCAATAAAGATCAAAGACCACAGAGAGGAAAGAGTAAGAGGCACTGCTGAGGAAAGTGTCATTACCCAGTATGGGCGAGTCACTAAGGTCTCTGGCACTTCCCCAAATAGCAGAGATCTTGAACTTTTCTCAGGAGCCAAGAGACTACAGGTCACCAGGGTGGAAGCTGGTTGAAGTATGAAGTTTCCTCCCTGGCCTGTTGGCTAGAACTACAGAGGATAACATCATGTGATCAAGTAAAGAAAATACTCTGGTCGGCTACTCATTGACATTGCATGTGAATTACTATCTCCAACTTTTTGTACGCTTGCTGGGAAATAAGTATCTATTACAATTCCCACTGTGGGTGGGAACAAATAAAAATAGCAAGGAAATATAGAGTCATAGAATTGTTTAGGTTGGAAAAGACCTTAAGATCATCAAGTCCAACCATTAACCTAACACTACTAAGTCTACCACTAAAGTAATTAAGGGTACAGTAATAATTAATTTCATGTTTCCTGGCTTGGTGGCTGGATTATTTTTAATGAAAGTAAAACTCAAAGAGAATCATTAAGGTTGGAAAGGACCTCTAAGATCATCACTACAACCATCAACCCAACACCACCACACCTACTAAACCATGCCTCAAAGTGCCACACCTACAGGTTTTTTTAACACCTCCAGGGCTGGTGACTCCACCACCTCTCTGGGCAGCCTGTTCCAATGCTTGACCACTCTTTCAGTAAAGAAATTTTTCCTAATATCCAATCTAAACCTCCCCTGCTGCAAATTGAGGCCATTTCCTCTCGTCCTATCGCTAACTACTTGGGAGAAGAGACCAACACCCACCTCACTACAACCTCCTTTCAGGTAGTTGTAGAGAGCGATAAGGTCTCCCCTCAGCCTCCTCTTCTCCAGGCTAAACAACCCCAGTTCCCTCAGCCGCTCCTCATAAGGCCTGTGCTCCAGACCCTTCACCAGCGTCGTTGCCCTTCTCTGGACACGCTCCAGCACCTCAATGTCTTTCTTGTATTGAGGGGCCCAAAACTGGGCACAGTATTCCAGGTGCAGCCTCACCAGCGCCGAGCACAGGGGGACAATCACCTCCCTGCTCCTGCTGGCCACACTATTCCTGACACAAGCCAGGATGCTGTTGGCCTTCTTGGCCACCTGGGCACACTGCCAGCTCATATACAGCCGGCTGTCAACCAGCACCCCCAGGTCCTTTTCAGCCAGGCAGCTTTCCAGCCACTCTTCCCCAAAACTGTAGCGTTGCATGGGGTTGTTAGACCCCAAATACAGCCAACAACATCAGCAAAGGATGTGGGTTTTTTTTGAAATGTCAAGTGTCTTAAAACTGTATTCTCTGGAGGAATCCAGGTCCCTCCAGACTTCTTCAGCAGCTCTTGGGTCACATAAATCTTAATATGAAAATATTTTCAAAACAAGAAAACATATTCTAAGCTTATATATGATGTTTCAAGACAGCAATGTATTGGTTGATCTTGGTTTTGCTATGGTAAGTAGTTCTCTTCTGTGCAAACAAAGTATATGCCTCAGTAGCATCTGTCCTGTTATCATTTAAAATTTTACATTGGAATGTCATAAACACCAAGATTAGTGTCTGCAGCTGACAAACACGTTCTATTCTTTCTCTCCCCTTTTATTGTAGTTATGGATGTGCAGGCATTTGAAAGGCTTTTGGGACCTTGTATGGAAATTCTGAAAAGAAACATTGCAAACTATGAAGAGCAGCTCGTTGCTCTGTTTGGAACAAACATGGACATTGCCGATACCAGTGCATGAACTAAACGTTGGAGCAACAAGATCTGTTATGAGAATATAGCACAGTAGTGGTTAGTCCACTGAGAAATTGTCTCTCTTCCTATAGATGCCAAGCATTTTCTGTGATTTTAAGAGTGGGTTTGGGGGTATTTTTTGGACTTAATACAGTGGAAATACTAGTAAACAAAATGGAAATTTAATAAAATGTGGGCTTGATTTTTGAAAGTGCTTAGCATTGATGGTTCCATCTGGCATTAAGAAGACCCATAGTAGCACAGCACCTTTGAAAATCAAGTCCTTTAACACAGCATTTCCTTAAAGAGTAGATTTCAAAAAACCCACGTGATGAACTTGTTAAACCAGCTTCTGTTCTTCAAAAAGGTTACAACTTTTCTGGAAAGACTGTTAGTTTGAATGTGATATGTTGAAAGTATTAGTGCACACAAAGTGTTTATATGTATTAATACAGAAGATATACAGTAGATATTACTTTCTGACTATTACAGTTGTCATGATTTTACGTTGCATTTATCACAGATGTAGTGAACCACAAGAATAATCGTAAGACAAAGCATGACAATGCGTTTTGTGTAACGCTCATGACCCGAATCTGATTTTTGACATTTTGTAATTTGTTTTAAGGTCCTCTTTGTTTAATATGTCATGTTTCAGCACGACATTGTAATATCTTATGCAATTTAGAGGACTTGTATATTTTTGCAATAAACTGCATTTTTTATTAGTTACATGTATTCTGTACAGTCTAGAGTGAGGACAGCTGACGAATTAACCTTAATGCTTTAAAAGCAAAGGCATAGGTTGTTGTCATGTTCTACCTAATCATACATAACCTATATTGTTTTCCTTCTCCCTTGTTTTATATTTATGCATTTTGTCTTCTCTGTGCTTGTTCTCTAGTTAATTTTTTGTTTAGACCTCACCTTTTTTATCTGTTAAATCTTTTACCTATTTCAAATGAAATGATCTCTGTATATCTCTCTTCTTGCAGTCTAATCTTAGCTATCAAAGACCGAATTCAATTACTGAAGTGATTGATATTGAAAGCCATGCTAAACTAAGCTCGTACTTGAAAAATCCTTATCAGGAAGTACAAAAATATTTTTAATTTGAAAGATCAATACTTCAAAAGTTTTGCACAAGTCTGGAAAGTGTGTCATTGTTGAAGCTAATGTGTCCTGCTTTCAAAAACCTGTGGGTCATTATAAAATAATATCTTTTTAGCCATAATAGCATGGGATACCTTCTAAGACTGAGGAGAGAGAATAGCATCTTAATTAGGAGCACAGGGCTCATTGCTTACAAGGGTCTGTGACTGGAAATTTCAGGCACAGTCCAATTTTAATACTGCTTACTGACCTATCTGTTGATGTATGTGGAAAGCTAGTGCACATAACAGCGATTGGCAGTAGTTCTGCCAGAATGATGTCACAAGAATTGTAGGAAGGCTGCTTGTGCCCTGTTTCAAACACCTGAATTATAACATCTTTCCTTCTTAGATAATGACTTTTCTAATGCCATATATTTGTGTATGTTGATGTAATTATTATCCTATAGTTAGTGATATGTTCTGTCAATTTATATAATCATACCTGCATATGAAATTATGATTATATAATATGATAACAATATATAATTTATATCATACAGTATGGTATAAATTATAAGTCAGATTCCTAACAAAATACAATCTGAGCAAAATTTACAAATGTCTTTTTTTTACCTAGAAACCTGGTAAGAATAATTGCAGATATGATAACTTGCCTTTGTACTTTTGATTTATGGAAAAAAGAGAAGCCTGTTATACTAGAAGGAAATATCAGGTAACCAAAATCTACACTCTTGTCATTCTGTATGCTTAATCTCTAAAAGCTACCTATATTTTGCACTAGCTTGATGTGATTAAGAAAAATGCTAGAAATCTCTTGTATGGCAGTAAACTACAATCAAGGCTATAAATGCCAGTCACGATATTTTCAATATTGTTGGTTATATTTAAAGTTTCCTTACAATAAACAACACTTTTATATAGAAAAATCTATGTTTATTGATATTGTTGCATTTTAATTCCATTATCATAAAGTTAAAAGTGACCTATTTATATTCATTTATTAAAACATTCATAATTCTTAACAATTCCATGTTGATTTTCATAAATGATGTTATGCAGATGCTCTGTCTACTCAGAACAGATGACATTTTGGTGTGGTAATTGTCATAGCTACTTCGTATTTGATGATTTGTTTGTAGTTTTTAGCTGGCAAAAAGCTGTGGAGTGACAAATTTAAGATAATCAGAGGCTTTGGATTTTCTGAGCTCTAAAGTACAGCTTCATGTTGCAGCAGTTTTATTGTGCTGCTCTTGGGGACTGGATGATTTCTGGAATTTTCTTTGTTGGTGAATTCAGGGGGGTTTAACCAACAGTAATAAATTGTTGCTTTGTAAGTTTCGTCCAAATCATTATATCCTTCATCAGTCAGCACTTGGGATTTTTTCTGAATCTATTCATATGTACACTTCAAACATGCCAGTCTTTGTGTCATAAATGTGGCCAGTGTTCACTGTAAGAAGGAAATCATACCAAGTCACTGATTTTTAATGACCTTTCAAAAAAAGGTAGATACTTCTAATAATTTTAAACAATACTATGTCACGTTTACCTTATGAGACTGTGTCCATACTTGGATTACCTGATGCTTCTGTTATTAAAGATTTTTATCGTCCTTGTTTGTAGTCAGGTCGCTAAAGGAATGGGACTTTGGCAATTACTTGGCACGTACGTGTGTGTTTGTTTCTCTCCTCTCTCCCCAACCTCCCCAGTGATTTATAGTTCTGGAGATGATTTAAATTAATTTGACAGATGGCTAAGTTCTAAAGAGGAAAAAAAAACCACCAACAACAAAAAAAAAACCTCCAATGAATTTGTTGAAAATATGTCCTGCTGGGTGAGGAGAGAAGAGTTTGAGAGAAATCCTGTACGAGAAGGGCATTCATGGGTTCACGTTACCAAGCAAAAGAGAATCCACATGGCAGCAAATGTTTACAAATGCCTTAACCATGGGAAAAAATTTCGACCACAGCCCCCAGTCCATCACAAGACACAAGCACTGAGGAAACCAAGCTTCCTATTGCTGATGCCATCACTTTTTAAATGTCATTTGTTTGTGCTTCATGAGATTTCATTCAAGTTCATCTGGAATAAACACTTCTGAAATCATTCCCTTCTCGATCTCCTGTTTGAGGTCCAGAAGTGACTGATTGTGGAAGTCTTGGGGTAAAGCTGTGAAGAGCATTGTGAAACTATCTACAAACCTAAACCACTGTCACTCCATCTTCTTTCCTCGTGTCTTTTGTATTCAGTAAAGACTATTCTGTTCCTTGCTGGAATGGTGGGTTTCGTTGTTTTGGTTTGGTTTTGGTGTTTTTGTTTTGTTTGAAATGTTTTGTGCTTTAAGCTTTCTATAAGGTGACTCTGGGATCAGTTACATCATGATTTGTGTCATTTTGTAGTTTATGACACACTTTCCATGGCAAGCATTATTGTTTTTCAATATCAAGAGTTCCCAGATGGGCAAAATCAGTATCTGCTGGTCATCCTTCACACACCTGGCACATCAAATTCCTAGTTGTCTTTTTTCAGATGATTGCTGCCTGTGATAGCTTTTGCTGAACGAAGTGCTTTGCTGAAAGTCAGTTTGCCACAGCATGGGCATTCTTACATGCTCTTGCTAAAGTTTTTATGTTAGTTCAAAGCTCTTTTTATCCATTCATACATGTGATGGTTAGAGGTGTGTATTTTTTTCGGAGTTTCTAACTGTGCCTGTAGTCCTCTAATAAGTATTACTGCAGTTTTCTCTGGGAGGAATTGCCTCTTTGTATGCTGAGTATGTACAGATCTGTGCTGTTGACTGTCTTACAAAATTCAGGATAATTTTCAAATAATTCTGAGAGTTGGATTTCCTTCAGATATATACCAAGGCTGTTCCCAAGTTCTTAATCTGCTTTTTGTCTCAGAAAGATGCTTTAACAGGCTGGACACTCTCACTTCGTGGACCGAAGGGAAGCTGAATAATGTTGCTAAGTTATGAAAAGCCCAAAGAAAATTACATTTTAACATTGTCTCTTCCTTCACCCCATTTCTCTCTTTCTCCCTAAATTATCGTTATTCTGAGAGCCAGGTGAAGAGACAGTGGCAGTAGGGGGATGTAAGGCAAGTGGAGTGACTGGCTGTGTCCATGCTGAGATGCAGTCATCTGGTTGACGGGCCAGTGACTCCCTTCCTCACGCCCTTGTCCTGTCCCTGTCCCTTCTGCGATGGCAAATCAAGCTGAGCTGGAGTGCAGTAATGGTGTTGCCATGGCTGTGTGAATACCATGGGTAGGGTTGTGTTTCTTCCTTAGAACTGGTAGAGGTATATGTATGCATGGGGGAATGGGGAAGAGAGATGGGCCAAACTGTTTCATAAAAGAAACTGTGCCCAGTCAAAACCATGTGAAAAACTCTGACACTAGGTTATACTAGGCCATTTTGACACCATCTGCTGACTCAGCCTTTTTAAATTGAGGTAAATAAAATTAGGACAGCCTAAAAATAGCATCATGGCATGGTATGAATACCTTGTCCTTTCTTCTTTGAGAGTATTGAATTTTTTCAGCTGAGCAGCTATGAAGTTTTGGGAAAGGATAATGCTCTGTGCAGGTGTCTCTGTGGAGGACTAATTCCCTGGCAGCCGAGCAAGCCTCTGGGACCTGCTCCCCCACATCTGTGAAGATGCTGGAAACTCAGTTCTGATAAATGTCTTATTTGGAAAAAGCCATCCAACTTATCACCAAGCTATATCTTCTTTTTCTCTTTGTTGCTTTGTCCTTGTGGAGTCACGTGGTGTGACGAACTTAAGCAACTGTAGCTTCACTGTACCTTTAGTTTTTGGCTGCATCTGTATAGTTACATCCATAGTAGGAAATTTTATGTGCCTGAGACTATTTGCTAGTACTGAGGTGTTGAATGGCCAACAGTCATACTATTTTCCAGTATTTGTGTGGGCTCATTTATAAGCTGTCTTATAAGCTTTTTTCCTGGCTTTCCGTATGCTGTGGCCATACACAGATGGCCAACTGAGAATAGTCCTTGGCCTATGGT